CCCCCCCCCTCTGCCCGCCACCTGCGGTTTCCAGTTTTTATTTGTTTTATTAATCACTACTGTGAGACTGAGTACTCCCGACCAAACTGCTCTAAAAAGTTTGTCTTCGGAAGCAGATATCATGGTTTTCTTTGGCGTAAATGCGTTTTGCAAAAACCTTCTGTCTCTTTACCAACTGATAAAGTGTTTTCAAAACAAAAAACGTTATCCTCTATTAATAAACCGACCGTTTCGCACCAAAAAATGACTACTTCCTATTTCCGCGTTAGAGAACGTCTAACCAGACATTCTGGCGCCAATTTCTTCAAGCAGCGACAGGCCGGTCCGCTGAATCCTTTACGCTTATCAGTAGTACTTGCATATGGGAGACAGTAACCAAAGGCATACTGGCTATATTTTTGTCACGGAATATCAAATTACTTCAAGTATTTTGTTCGCAAAATATAATGCAATAAGTAACTTAACTTTAAAACACTTACCAGAGTTGTACTAAAGCTATGAAAACTGGGACTGTCGAGTTATTAGGAAAATGTTTCCGGACTTGCATGTTCTCGTTGGGTTTGTATTTTTAATTGGATACAGTGACTTTAGTTAGGCGTTTGCGAAGTATATAATATATTACTGAAAAAAGAAGCGGATATGTGAATAAATGAGATTGGGTAGTTCGCTATGCAATGTTTCTATCAAATATCTATCTATCAATCAATCTATCAATCTATCTATCAAATAGCTTAATAATGCACACCTTGAAAAGCCGTTGTAACTCATATCAAGATGAGAACGAATTACTTTGCTCCCACCTCCATATTCAGATACGCATATTAAATACTAATATTTGAACTTTAGTTAATGATTTTTTTAATCACGCAGACATTAACGCACTAAAAGGAATCAAAATAATAAGCGAATAAGCTGACATTCTCATATGCCAATTTCCCTTGATATAAATACTTGTATACCTCCTATATGTAATTCAGTAGGTGAAGTTATGGTTATTACTGCCCTCCGAAACTCCGAAGTCTTTCGCTTCATGTGAGTACTTTTAGTTTGATTAATTTAATTTTAATTGTTGGTTTTATATTTAGTTTATTAATTTAATTTTAGCTATAGTTTTTAAGCAACATTCGGCTAGTTTTCAGTTTATTGTCCTACAACCTCTGTTCAAATGCATGAGAAGCTATTATGAGTTTAAAAAGTAGGGGAAAACCTACCTGTCTTGTTTTTTATTTTGATCTATAAATCTCAATATAGGGTCGCCATTGGTTTGTAGCCTATTTAAAGGCAGTTTTGCACAGATCTTACTTCCTATTGGTTGCACTTGTACTTCTGATTATCGCGCGCAAATGTTTGATTATTCAAATGATTATCTCCCTTTATTTTCTGCCTTCATATGCTAAACGTTTTTATATATTTTTTTCTTTCATGTGCTATTACTGAATCATAAAACTCCTATTAACACCTTTCTTGTAAGAAAAAAATGATGGGGCAAGAGATTTCTAAGCACCTCGGCATATGAGGATGTTGCCGCGAATACTCTAGAAATTCTTAACGACAAAAACTGCAAATACTGAACCAACTTTATGTAGAAATTTGACTTCAAGAGATGAGATGAGTATTTGTGCTACAGTTCATCAGCCACAGCGCGATAGTCGCCTCATATCCATTAATGTACCACTTGTCTTACTGAGCATTCCACGAATTATTTGGAGTGATTTTGACCCGAAAATTATTCATAAATGGTCTTTTAGTGTTGTCTTTGTTATGCTGTACTAATGACTGAATTGGTTGCATGGAATCTTTACTTATACCAATTGGATTTACTCGTTCCGTACAAATATTCGGTGTTTCCTCAGTTCCGTTTTGCTTATAAAATTTATTTTCCCCATAGGGCTTTCTTAAGAGGCCGCTTTTTCCCTCGATTCATACTAAAAACTACTTCCACACTTTAGTAGGTCGAATTTCCACCTATCCAAGCGCTTCCTCGACTGTGTTAACCTGTAAGAGTTTTCCTAATGTTTTTTTTGGTCCATAGGTTTCCTTGTCAGTCTTTTTTTCTCTCGGCAATTTTTTTGCCTAAGTAAATAAATAACAGGCGACTTTGATTCCTTTCTTATTGCGCAGTCGTCACGCACCTGTACGACCTTCAGCATCTTTTCATTCCCCCTAACCACGACTTCCGTAAGTAAACCTTGGGTGGGGGGGATTTTATGTCATTAGGCAGCCTCACAAGAAAGTCTTACAATTATTTCGAACCAATATGACAGCACATTCAATTCTTATTCTTCATTTAATTAAAGGTCGTTCAGTCTTCATTTGAAGCTATGTTAGATATAGTTTATCCAGTTTCTGCGGAAATGCACCTATTTCATCCTTTATGTCATCCACTGCATACTTTGCTATTTCTCCAAAGCTGATACGACTCATTAGGATAAACCCCATTGTTTGCCAACAATCCATGTTAACTATGCTAATAGCCGTCCAACATTAGCTAAGAGCGCATAGACACGTGTCGGCCTAGCAGTCATTCTTCTCGAATGCTGTTGTCATGGTCACGGCATGGGCGACTGAAGTGGAGCATTCGGCTGCGCGTAGAGGCAGATGTGTGGCGGACG